AAAGGGGAGAAAAAAAAAAACAAGCGTTGCCTTCTATTAGAAAAATTTTCAGAAGTTTTATGTTAAAACGCTGTTAATCGTTCTGGAATGTAGAGTAATTTTGATCGCACAAATATACCTCCCATCCATGTAATTTGTTTAGATTTTTTATTAGCATAAATTAGGAAAGATTTGAGAGAAGCAGAATGAAACAAATTGATCCCTACATACATGGCCTAGAATTAGTGTAAAGAGAGAATTTAGACGTTAGAAATGAAATATTTGTAAAATTTACCATAATATTATAAATTTATAATTATAATATATTATTATATGATTAATTTTTTTAATTTAAGATTCATCACTCTTGTTATTATTTATTTAATAACACTTTAAAATTATAAATCTAAGAGTATATTGTGTTACAATCCGTTTTATAAGAGACTGTAACATTAAGGTTATTAAAAAAGAGAAGGGAGGATCTAATGTAAGGGAGTCCTTTCTCATTTGATGGTTCTGATGTTATCACATAGTTTTTTCGTAAATCTAATATCATGTCATTATAACTATATGATTACAAACATTAAAAATATTGAAAAATAATTTTGAAATAATTTTTTTATATTAATTTTTTATATAATTTAATGTGTCATTTAAATGATCGATTTTTTTTAAATTAGATGAGATATGTGATTTTAAATATATTAATTCATTTAATAACCTATAAAAATTATATTAAAAAATTGATATAAAAAAATTATCTTTATAACATCGTACTAAAACATTATAACATATAATCAAAACTACCTAATAAATGACAACCACTTAAATAATTTAGTAGTCTTATTTTTTCATTAGAAATAAGAGATTCTGAATTCGAATCACATAACATGTGAGAATGTGAGATAAGAAATAAGAGATGGTTATTTTTTATTGTGCAATTAAAATTTAAAAAAAAAAAAAAAAAAAACGAGGGGTTGAATCAAATGGCAAGCGGCTTGTTTTGACAACATTTTTATGATCGGAAACGTTTTAATTTTTCAGGTACAAATATAAACATTTTGCAACATAAGAAACCGAAACCTGACGTGTCCTA